GAAATCCTGAAGATAGGGTATTGGATACCTGTCTGGGATTGTAACGGTGTTGAGTGCTCTGAAATCTCCACATGGCCGCCATGTACCGTCTGCTTTCTTTACCATGTGAAGAGGACTAGCCCAACTGCTGCTCGATGGACGGCAAATGCCCAGTTTTATTAGACTGTCAAATTCTGCCTTAGCCGCTGCCAGTTTATCTGGAGAAAGACGTCTTGGTCGTGCTGATAAGGGCGGACCGTGAGTTTCGATGTGATGGACCACCTCGGACATAGCTGTGCTTCCGAGTTGTGCCAACCGTGTTATGTTACCAAACTCTTTAAGTAAGCTCGTATATTCGCAGGACGTGTCAAATGTTTTTACTGATAAGGCTTCGCTACTGACAAGTTTTCCTATCGACGCTACTGATGTTAAGTTGTCGACTAATCGTTTCCTTTTTAAGTCGACCAGTAGCCCATAGTGGCTTATAAAGTCGGCTCCTATAATTCCGCACGTAACGTCAGCGATCAAAAAATTCCAAAGGAATTCGCGTCTTAAGCCTAAATCGATTTTAAGGAGGACTTCGCCGTATACAGTGATCGGGGTACCGTTCGCTGCGTATAACTTTACCGTCGATGATTTCATGTTGTTTTGGACAATTTTAGGAATTATGGAGGCGTCTGCTCCGGTGTCTATCAAAAAATTATGTTTGGAGAGCCCGTCAAAAAGTTTCAGGCGGTGTGTGACTGCAGGGCGTAAGTTACAGATGTGCGTTGCAGTCTTCGATGCAGATAGTCATTTGCTTTTCTCCAGGTTGTTGTATGAGCAGGGTTTCCTACATGTTCGAGCGTTGGCGCCGAACTTATGGTGATACCAACATAACTCGTTCGTGTGCGTAGACTCCTGGTGCACATATCGTTGGTGTCTCTGCCGGCTTTGGCTGCGGCTCCTTGGTCGTCGCGATTTTATAACTTCCATCTGCTTCGTGAGCTGAGCGATCTCATTTCGGATTTCTCGTAATGTAATTGGCTCATCGCTGGCCTCCTTGGGGGCGCTTATTGCTGGTTGTTGATTACCTACTACGTTAATTTGTCGAAAATTCATAGAATCGGCGATGGCGTCTGCAATTGCGATTTTATCTGCAACGTCACCTTTTGATGCGATTACCGCAGCCTGAGCGTGGGGTGGTAGACGTGAGGCCCACAGATCGATAAGTACTGTTTCACAGAGCGCGGTGCCAGCCACTCGTCTCATGTCGTTGAAAAGTTGGCTTGGCTTTAAGTCACCCAGGGGCATATCCGAAAGAACACGTTGCACGCGACGTTGTTGGCTGTCTGCAAAATGTGCTATTAGTTTGGATTTAATGTACTCGTAGCGGTTAAGCGAAGGTGCTGAATCGATGACTGCCCTTAACTCCATTAGCTTGCTTGGAGGAACTTGTGCCATGACCAGGTTGTATTTCCTTGTGTCGTGTGTCACACCGGTAGCTGCGAACCAGAACTCCAATGACAAAAAATACGACTCGATGTTTGTTTCGTTTATATTGGGTGGGCTTATGCGTGGTACCATAGCTGCGTCCACGTGGAAATCAGGCTGATGCACCTCGATTGATGATCTAGGCAAAATGCTTTGCGGTTGCACTGCCTGTCGAACGTTCGGGGGTGACGATGTTTGCGCGTTATTTTCACCTTGTTGTGCCATTTTGATCACGTCGGGGTCACCAGTTTTAATGGTTGCGTTGATAATGTTTGAAGCGGGTGATCCTGCTGGCACGTCTTGTCAGTTTGGCGTCCGTGAGAAGAAGGGAAGAATTGCAGGATGAAGGAGAATGGGGTTGCTTATGACTTTAATATAAAATTGTAGTAAAGGGTTAGGCCGGTCGGTAGTGTTGTGCGTTTTGACGGTCGGCAACATAGTACAACATAGTTGTAGCCTGTCGGTAGTGTATGATGTTGCCACATATATATACGTGTATGTACGAATAGGTACCAAAAGTAACGTTGCTTGGCTCTCAAAAATTTTATATTAAGTACGTACTTATGAGCAATTTGAATATATATATATGTTAGGTGTATGTACGAATTGGTACCAAGAGTAACGCTACTTGGCTCTCAAAAAACATATATATATTATATATTGTAAGTACGTACTTATGTATGTATTCTGAGTAAAGTGCTAAACGGAATATGACAATAATAAATTCGCAAATACTTTGCACTTAATACCTGTTAAGCACAAGATTAATTTAATTATATATATTCGTTTTCATTTTGCACTTTTATTCCGTATTGCACTGATATATTATATTTTTTAAAAATTTGGGTTTATGTACTCACAATTTTTTCCGCGTACATATTATATATAATCCTTGTTGCTTTTCTGATCCAAGTTTGTGGTTGATTGGGTGGGCGAATATATTATTTTTGATGATCCAAACGGTGGTTGATTGGGTGGGTGAATATATAATATGTAAACGATGTTTAATTGGGTGGTTTATCGGGAACGGATCCGGCTCGAAGGTCCAAAATGTCGGGGTACTCGACGTTGAGTTTGCCGGTGTGCCAAATAAAATAAAATGTTAATTAAAATTCAACAAAATGTAACTTTAATTACTCTTAGTATATAGGGTAGAAATATAGACAATTTGTGTGGGTTAATTGTACAATATTTATGTGTGTGTTTGTTAAGTGTTATATGTATAATTCAATTTATATGTTATTTTTAGGGGCTGGGGCGATCTAATTTTCGCGCCTTTTCTGTCCGTCCGCGTTGATATCTGCTCCTTGGTCTGCTGATTAATTCCAATTGGAATTATGCGCTATGTTGGTGCTGTTAAGCCTTTTGCACTGTTCTCTAATTCGTATTTATACGAGTTAGGAGAACAATGCAGGGATGTGTTCATTTGGTGTGAACAGTGAGCATGAAGACTCTGAACATTATGAAATAAAATTTGATGTTCTGATGTTCGGGAATTCATAAAACTGAAACTTGTTGTTAGAGCTTTATTTGTGTTCAATTCCCTCAGTTCTTTAAATACAGGATCCGATTCAGAAAATTTGTTAGGAGGAATAAAATTTCCTATGATGAATAGACCTTCTGCAGTAGTAGCTCGACTGCAGCGACATATATTGAAGCTCTAGGCATTCTGGGTCGAGTATGAACTACAACTTTATTATATGTGGCACCCTGACTTTTATGAATAGTTATTCCCTCAGCCGGAACAACCGGAAACTGATTTCTTTCAATTGAAATTTGTTCATTTCTTTTATATTGAAAAGATTTTAAAACTTTTTCAATTGGTGTCCAAGAACTTTCTAAAGGATGAGGTTTTTTTGATCGTGCTATCAAACCAACAGAAGGTTCCAAAAATTTAATCCACAGAATTGTTGAAAAGGAACATTGGAAATCAATATGCATAAGTTGTCCAGCTGTCCCATTAACCAAGCCATCGCACGTGTTTATATTAACTGTAATCATATATTTGGCGGATGTTTTTAGTGCTGTATGCTTCATTGGGATTAGGAAAGAATATCCACCTATCTCCAACAAGTGAGAGTTGCTTCAAATCACCAAACACGGAGAACGGTATATCACCGAAGGGGCTGTCTGTTTTGAAAATTTGTTTTAATCTCGCATCAACAGAGCTAAACATACGAGCACCTTCCATCGATATTTCATCAATTATGATTAATTTTAAATCGATAAGTCTGGAATAACTGTGTCATTGCTAAGTGGCCTCAACTCTCTATTCAACTGATTAACAAGTAAAGAGAATATTGAATGTAGGGTCATTCCACCTATTCCGAATGCTGCTTTACCCGTTGGTGCACAAAGAAGAACTTTTAAGGAACTTGGATTGAATTCAGGTGTAGAATTGTAACGACGGTTAAGTGCTTGATATATTGCAGATATCAAACGATTCTTTCCTATACCTGCACCGCCGACAATGAACTCATAAAATGAGCGATTTGTTTTTAGCTGGTGCGTCAAATAGGTTCTTTGCTTAGTATTTAGACTTTGAACTAAAAAAAATAATTCCTCAACTGGAATTAAAGGGGGTAGTTTAATAAGTCTAATATTGCAATCAGATTCAGTGCCGTGATCTGTTGAATCTTCACCATGCAAGTCTAGCAAATTTATATTTGGGTTTATTACTGGAAGTGCCAATACTCTGAACTCATTTTCCACGATAGGTAGTTCATTTTGAGCACCTTCGTCCAAGTCTATTTCATTATAAAGACTTTCTAGAACATTTTAAAGTTCTCTTTGCTCAAAAACATCATATTTTCTTTGACTTTCCTCAAATATAAAACGATGTGTTATGCAAGCCTGCTCATTATCGTTTCCAATGAGATCTCATTCCGTCATGGATAGTAAAGCATTACCATTTCGCGGAAATACTTAAATCTGGGTTAAACCTTCTATACCGAATAATACAAGGTTTAGTACGTTTCTAAACAAAACTGCTGCCGTCTTTAAGAGGCATGACAACCCCGCTTTCTGGTAAATTATCGTTTTCCCTCTCTTCTTCTTCATGATCACTATCTTGTGCTCTTCTACTAGATTTAACATATTTATACATAGGTGCAAAATCAGCTAAGCAAAGAGTTTCTAACTGATCGGATCTTTGAACATAACGGTCTAAAATACCGGCTACAAGTATTTCAGTCGAACCTGAAGGAAGGTTCTGAAGTTCTGCTCTAGGTTTCACCATTCGAGAACGTTCCTCAGGTCGAGAGGTATTTATAAATATTTTTGCATTACTTGCTTCCGAAAGATGGAGCCCAATGCAGCAATATACTGCTTCTTGTGCAGATATTTCTGTGCCTGATATAAATTTGTGACCTATATGTTTAAGTTTTTGCTTAACAGTATAATTTCCAGCATTTACCGCTGATATAGCTTAATTTAAGAGCCTAGAAACTCCCCTGTTAGACGTTTTAATATAATTAATTATATATGAACAGCAAGCATATGCATCCAGTATATATTGGATATCCAAAATCAGAGGATTATAAGCGTTTATAAAACCATCCTGTAATTTTTTTTTTAGAAAAAGTTTGGGTTTTGTTAAACTGGATCAAAGGGCTAACAAGTAGTCATCAAAAGACATATTTATTCTACTATCAGACAGGAAATGTTCAAAATCTCTTAAATTAGAAATGTCTTCGGTAGTCATATTTGAATTTAACAGGTTTTGAATTTTGAAAAAGCTTTACTTGTGTCTTTCTGAGTTTTGACTTGTTTCTGTAAGAGGTAACATTTGCGGTGAAGGCATTGGTGGATATCCTCTTATTTCCCTAGTACAAGACCGACTGTGGTTATGCTTTTGATAACCCAAATAATAAGTGGCTGACCGAACCATCTGTAGATAATTGTCAATAAAACTAATGACATCAGGGAATGTCTGAGTATCTTGAAGGTTGAACCTGGGAGCATTATTAATCCAACACATGCCATGTACATACGGGGAACCTCTCTGCTGAAACTCCATTCTCCAGTAGAAATTTGTGACAAAATGCTCTCAAAAATGCCAGCATTATCTTTAAAAGGCTTAAGAATTTGTCGACAGCGGTAGTCAAAATATCTAGCACAAGTAACAGCATCTGACCGAATTAAGCTATTTTCATCTTGGGTTGTTAAACTGTTGGCTTCCTCTTCCGAAATATCTTTATCAACAGTTTTAGAGAGGATGACCAAAAGCTCAACCTACTGAGATTCTGCAGCCGATAAAGTGATAAAGAAGGTTGGAAGCCCAAATTGGCGAATCATAGCGATTGCCGTTTTCTTCTCAGCTTCCCAGTGCACAGGAGAGGATCTAACGCCTTTCAAAACCTTGTAGCCATCATAGTGTTGAATCAAGTTTTGAAAAAAGTTTTCGTTTAATAGATTATGGGCCGTAACTTGGTTGCGGCCTGAAAATTTTCTAAGGCAAATAGATGTACTATTCTTAATTTGTAGCAGCTCTTTATTTTTTGTAATCATAGAACAACTTTGGAATGGTACACGCTTCTCTGTCAAAACGGCGAGTTTCAGAACGTATTATTTTGCTATATGTTTCAGAGCATGTACGTTTCCGCCCAGCGTATATTGTTCCAAATGATAAATCTTCTGAAATATTGTCTTGAATTATGTTAATTAGTCTTTGTCCTTCACTTGGCGCTATGACTAGATGATTATAGTCCAAGTTTTTTACAGGAATATTGTCCAAAAGAGTTTCTTGACCACCTGGGTTAAGCTCGGGAGGTAAAAGAAATATGGGAATATTATTACCTGAGAGATTATCATGAGAAGTTTGTGCCGCACGAACAGATTGAACAAATCGGGAATCCTCTGCAGATACAACAAACGTAACTTCTTCTTGGTTATTAAATTCTGAAATCCAGTTCTCATTAATATGTATATTGTGCTAACGATACAGAGGGTTATTCACTAAAAATTGCAAAGCTTCCGTACTCTTTGCAGGGCGTATGGTATCGATCATGTAATCATGATTGTATCTCAAACGCCTTCTTAAGTTAATTTGTATCACATGAGCCTCATCAAAGGATCTTGGTAGAGATGTCACAATATTGTTAACAGCACCTTTGAGAGAACTCTGACATTGATATCCTAACGGACGGATTGTCATAAAAGGCAATCTAGGCATTATGAGACGTTCTTCAATTGGGGTTAAATCTTTTAAACAATCCGGTATTTCA